CCTGGGTACTTGGTTTAAGATATCTTTTCAGTAGGCTGTCAATAGTTTTCAGCCCTTTCCATCACTTATACAATGATTCAATACTACCACTCTCTGTGATATGGTCCCCATAATGTTATCGCACAAATGCCCAATCATTAAAAAAAAGTTGTGGTGGTCCTTGTTACTGCAGAGTGCTCCATTGGGATGGTTTAGGAGGCTGAAGTATGCTAAACCTCTAACCCTCTCCTTGTGGTGCTATTCTCTTTAGAACAATGGCATTTGGTCTAAATGTAAGTGCAGATTAGTTAGCATTAATGCTGACTACATATTGGGTGGAAGATACCTTTTATACAGGATCACACACAAACACCGAGTGCTTTTCCTTTTGGTATAACACAACATATAAGACACAAGCACTCTGGCATCTTTAGCATGTTACACTTCATTATCGTCTCCAGAGCCATGTGGGTTTATATGTCGTAGGATACCACTCTTATTGTGTTGTTCCAGAAAATATCCATACCCCTCCCATGGAAGGTTTTTAAGCTTGAATCCCCCACCCCCTTGGAAATTCAGATTTAGCAACATACTTTCCTTTAAAAATTCTGGTCTTTAATACCCCTCCCCTGGCAATTTCCATTACCGGTAGTATTCCTTGGGGTGGGTATGGATATTTTCTGGAGCTGCACATTTTGACCTGGGACAGCAGTTACTTTTTGAGTAGTGCTACTTCTCCCTTTTTAGTGCAGAGAATGCGTCTGTCACATGACTTCGTATCTTTTGGAATTACCCCTAGCTTGGTTCAACAATGTCCCCCTCATCTGCTGTTTTCAAACTGCAATAGTGTGTTTGCCAGGGTTCAAATAAAGAGTGGAAATGCATTCTTCTCCTTAATGGCTTCTTTCTACCAAACACTAAAAGTTAACACCAAAGCTGGCAACAGAATAAAGAACATACAATTCCGACACGCAGCCCACAGACCTATAACTACATTACAACACTAGTTAACACCAAAGCTGGCAAAGTAGTTGACACTAATACTCACTAATCTGCATTTGCATCTAGACCAAATTACCTTTGTTCTAAAGAGAATCGTACCACAAGGAGAGCAAGGGGCTTTCTGAAATTTATAGCTTCAGTGGCAGATCTAGGGGAGGGGCCTGGGGGGCCTGCCCCCCCTTATTTTGGGTAATCATACGACAGAGTGGCAACATTGAAGCATCAAAGCTGTTGGAAAGTGCTGGAATCTGTCGCTAGCCACCTTTAAGTGGTTAAAAGACAAGGACACCCTAACAGGACTTGAAACCAGATTTCTTACTTAGCCTCCAGTTATCCGAAGGGTGGATGATGCTATCCACCAGATAAAACATTGTCCAGTGGACAGGATTGTTTGCTTTGTCAACAGTTATCTACTGGATAGTATCATTCAGCCTTTGAGCAACTGGCTTAAAAACCAATTACAGAAAACACTGCTCTCACTCTTGATACAAATAGCTATATAAGAACACAAAACAAGGGTAGCAAATATCAGCTCTATCACTGTCAAACATATGGCCCTTGGAGTCTCAATTCAATTTAGAAATGTAGGTTTTTGGGGAAAACTTGAAAAGCTGGTTAAAAAAAAAACGATGAATCAAGGATGAGGGGCAACAAAATTAAACTTATTGATGGGCCACATCATTCACATTTTGGTGAGGGGTGAGTGCTGTCTCCTCAGTGCCATCAAATCGAGTAAAACAAAACAAAACAAAACAAAAAAAAACAAAAAACAAAAAACACTTTCCTTTATGACACAATAACCAAAGGTTAGTTAAATGCAAACTAACTTCATAATTTTATTTAACCAAAATTAGGCTCAATAACAGTTCACATAGACAAAAAGAAGCTTTCACTTCTGTTACAAGAGATTCTCCAGGAAGTGATGTTATGTCATTGGAAAACAATTGCAGGTTTTTTTTTCACAGCATCGCTAAAGGGTGGATCNTCAGTGACAAATGCCCTTTTCCTCCCTCGCTGGAGAGTTTTGGAGAAAATGAGGGCCAATAAACCAATCAGAGTCTGTTTTTTTGTGAGTCTTTTTAAAGACAAGTGGTCCAAGAAATGAGTTGCAGCAGTCACACTCTGACAGATCACTACTACTTTACTTTATCAAGAGATGTTATATATTAGTATCACACAATTGCCTTAACATTGTCAGACAAATGGTGGTAATCTTAATGCCATAACAGGTTACCATAGTAGTGATGCATCCTGCTAAAAAACCCCCCTAATTTTAGGTTTAAGTGCTTATAGGTCAAAAATGGCTTGGTGAAACTCATTTGTTATTAAATATTGAATTATATAAAGCATGTCAAGATGTATCTTTATGTGAATTTTAAAAAGATTATGTTGGGAGAGTCTAAAGCTATTTCAAATTACTGAAAATTTAAGGTGGCTCTGAGCACCCCCTCCCCATCGAATTTTGTTCAACTTTGTAGTATCTTGACATGAGGGTTATTTAACGTGTTAGTCAACATGGTGGGTCTTAAAAGGAGACATCCTCTGCTCACTAATTGAGCAGCTCTTGATCTGTCTTGCATGACCTATGGTGCAAAATACTGCAACAGCTGCAAGGCTCTGCTCTAGAAGTGCCTGGGTGCCACAGGCAACTAACTTTTGCCTTTGGGCGACTGGCAAAACTTACTGTTTTCATACAAACTTAAGTGCTGGGCACATGGTTAGGAACCTTTTAGCTCTTGGAATTTTTCTCAGACCACAGCCTTGAACTGGGGTTGTTTAAAACATGAAAAATTATAAACATTTGAAGTTGTCCTTCAGCAGCATATCGGAATAGATAAATATATTGATTCAATTGAGGCCTTGAGCTACTGTACTATATTTTAATGCCAAGTTTTTGCTATTCTACGGTATCCTCAGGGAATGAAAGAAATATTCCATAGTGCGTTATATGAAAGTGGTGTAAGTGACGTGAATGATAGAATATATTAAGGACAGTGGGTGTAAATATGGTTATGGATGTATACAATAATATGGACAATAGCTAATGAGTAGAAGTGATAAAGCGGTAAAAATAGAAATAAGGCAGTTCAAGATAAAATGAAATGAAATAAAATAAAGGTTCTCCGAGTTCGATACATTCTTTGGGAAATATACGATAAAATGGACAACCGCTAATGATTAGCTATTGTCCATGTTATCATATACTTCCATTGATATTCTATCATTCGTGTCACCTACACCACTTTTATGTCATGCACTATGGAATATTTTCTTTCATTCCCTGATGATGCTGTAGAACGGTGAAAGTTTGGAATTAAAATACAGTACAGTAGCTCAGGGCCTCAACTGAATCAATACATTTATCTATATGAAAAATTATGGCACGATGAAAATTGCCCAAACATCACTGTCTCAACTGTGATTAGCTCTCAATATTTGTAAAGGCGGATGCTTACAGATATCTGGATCCCATCATTTTGTGTTTTAAACATGCCTACACCCCCAAACAAGGTTAGTTTCGGGTTGGTTCAATGGTTATCAGCAGTCAGACAGTGAATACAGTTTTACATTCAAGTTAAAGGGTCAGGCCATAATTAGATAGTTGGCCTTCACTTATGGTTTTTGTAGGCATACCTACCAACCCCCAGAGTACAAAAACCTGGAGACGCCTAGAAATCTTTGCATTGTAAGAATATAATTTTCGACAATGTCTGAATACTCTCCGACAATCACCCAAAGGCCTTCCGAACGTTCCCGACGTCTTGAAAATAACGAAATTAATGAAAAAAAAAAAATTTAACAAGAGCCACAGTAGGTAGTTCCCAGGAGGTTTGGTGCTCTAACCGGGAGACCGCAAGATTTGATGAAAAACTTGGAGACTCCCAGGAGAACCGGGAGAGTTGGCAGGTCTGTGTAGGTAAATTGACTTGTACATACCTTGTCCAGGGAGAGGTTCTGCAAATACAAACTTAACTCCTCCTCCTGGTTCATCAGTGTCTATAGTCAGCTCTGACTCAGAACAAAACCAATACTGCATTGCAGTTAACTTCATTCCAATACTAGCACCTTGTATTGAACTCTGCACAATAAAGCCATCTGCACTTTCATCCGAACTGATATTAAACCTGGTGAACCCAAAGCAATTTTCGTACCATTTCATAATGGAGTGGGAAGTTCCTAGAGGGCATGCAAACGTTATGTGATCAAAATGTGTCAAAATACGATCACCAAGAATTGTTTTGTGATGTGGTGAATTTGTCGAGGTTACATAATCCGGCTCCTGTAACGCAATCGTGTTGTCACAAACATTGAATCCCGGCAAAAACACTCCTTTATAATCTGATGCATTTAACAATGTGTGCACAACGTTTCCCACAGGAGTTCCGATAACAGCGGATTCCACTTTCCCATTGCTATCAGCAAGTGTTTTTGGTCCCCTGATAATTTTGCCATCATTTCTTTTAACGATGTCAACCGCTTTACCGACATCTTTGACTTCAAGGGCGACATTGAACACTGTATCCCTCTCACAAGCACCCTCACTCAGCACAAAATTTATGGAATCCCGGTTTAAAGTGACTTGACTAAGAGACGGAGAACGAGCAAGCACTCTGAATCCAAATTTTCCACAGAACTGCTTCAGACTTTGCTGCAAATTCTGACAAAGTACTTCAACATGATGTAACCGAACCACCATCTTTCTCCTTCACATGGCTACACTAGATCCAGGTTCTACTCGTGCTGCGTTGGATCAAAGTCCCCCGTTTCGAGCCCGCAGTCTCTCTAACTCCGCAATCAGCGGAACGTGAATCCGGGGAGATTGGGCTCGAGATTGAATTGGCTCCGGGGGCACTCTCTACATGGCATTGCCGGGGAACATCCTTTTAAGTCTTAAAAGTGTGTTTGAGTCACTGAGGACGTTCAATTTCAAATTTCCATAGATTTAGTATGTCTGTTGAGTCTGCCACCGTCTGTCGCCCGGGTTTGCTAGGAGGACGGTGAGGGTAAAGACGAAGGCCATGTCGAACAGGGGGGATATCAGCGACGTAACCGCCCCCGCGCACACCCGTGTATGGTTTGCGGTGTATGCTGGGAGCGAATCACTCGGCAAGAAGATTCCCCTGATGCCGGTTGCGCTGCTAGTGGTGAAATCAGTGAAACCGTTCCACGTGTTATACAAGGTAAGAAGAAGGAGATTTCCCGTGTTTTCTTAACAAATTTTTACCTTGTTATATATCTTTTAGAAATAAGGAAGTTGATTAACGATACAGCATTCATTTATAAAACATGCACGTGGAATAGGAAATTTGATTAAGTAAGCTTGCCCTTGTAAAATTATGTAGGCTTATTCCTTCAAACGTTTGAGATTATGTTAATCTTCCATGTCTTGGTCCAAAGAAAGATTTATCTGACGAAACCGTAATTAAATACTTTCGTTTTAAAAAAAAGCATTGGTAGCGATGTGGCGTTAAATACAAGGCTGGTACCCGTGAGTCAAAAAGTAAGTACTTACTAACGTCGGGCCTACATATGATTGAGTTCTTTCCATGTAAAATTCCAACACATGACGTTATATGTGATGCAATATTAGATTCTTACTTATGTAGTGTAGAACTATGTTACACTGTAACATCGATAACAAACAATTCTTCAAAGCACTCAAAAGGAAGCAAGATGCTTGTAAAGAGATGATTGGCAAATATCGTTGATCTTATTATGCATCAGTCAATTCCAGCAGTGCCCATCCCCCCCCCCCC